GAGGAAATCGCGGAGAATATGACAAGGCATGATATTAATCCGCCGCAGAAGAACAGAAAGCAGACGCTTACTGCCCCCCGCAATGTAACCGAGGAGAACCAAGGAATTAATAATAAGACTCAGACTGTTCGCATGCAACTGAGGTCACATAAAAAGAAGCAGTTAAATCAAAGGGGACTGACGACTGAAAAGAGAGAGACGGAAATCGGACGACTTCGGAGTACTCGAAGAAAGGAACTTCCTAGGGTGGAAAAGCAGAGCTCGTCTGAGCAATCGACAGAAACCTCCAGCGCCAGCGTAGACACAGACGCGGCAAATGCGAATATCCTCTGTATTGACATGAAAGACAGGAGTAGTATTGCCCCAAACACGATACCATTAGCTGCAGAAAAGATCCCTGGAGTGGATGGCAACCAGAATGTCATCATGAATGGTTCGCCAGAAACTCCCAAGTCACCAACATCACGCAACCAAGACCGGCCGCTCCGAGAACAGTGCCTAGTAATACAGGGACTTCAGGAGCCTCAAGCAGATACACCTAAAGAACGCGTATTAGCTGATCTCGGCTTGTTCCAGGGTCTTCTAAACACACTGCTTCAACCCGATGAAGAAATTTCTGTGTTGAAAGCCTTCAGACTCGGAAAGCGCTCTACTGAACCCGCTATTCCACCGCATCCTAGGCCCCTTAAAATTGTTCTGATTTGCAAAGAGCATGTTGATCTCATCCTCTCAAGACGTTTTAGGTTAAAATATTCCCACCAAGGAGTTTCTTTTCAGCCGGATTACACACCACCGGAGCGGATAAAACGCCGACAGTTAGTTCAGGAGCTAAGACTGCGACAAATGAATGGCGAACAAGGCCTGGTTATCTACAACAACTGCATAATCGAGCGACAGTCCCGCTTCATATGGACACGGTCTGTGCGTATGTCGCCACAGCCGAGGCAATTGGCAAAGGCGGCGTCATAGCCGGCTTACCAAAGGCAAAAAAGCTAAAATGCTTGTATTCCAATGCGCAAAGTCTGCTATCTAAATTAAATGAGCTTAAAATCTACGTTAACCAAACCTTACCCGATGTTATATCCATAACTGAAACGTGGCTGTCCGCGAGCGTAGACGATCGCGAAGTCGCTTTATCTGGTTATCACTTGTTCAGAAAGGACAGGTTGGGACGTCAAGGTGGAGGTGCGCTCGCGTATGTCAAATATGGCCTTTCTGCGTCAGCAAAAGAGGCACAGCTCGCGCGCACAACTGAAACAATTTGGCTCACCGTCAAAACGCCGAAGTCACAACCTCTCGAGATCCTGACGGTCTACCGCCCACCGAGGAACGACCCGCAATCAGACAGTAGTCTACTAGAGGAACTAGAAGCGATTCCGCTCCGACACAGTGTCATGATTATGGGCGACTTTAACGCTCCGAATATCGACTGGAATCTGACTTCTGCCCCGGGCTCAGAATTTAACTTTGATCTCCGCCTCCTAAAATCTGTGCAAAGATCGCATCTCACACAACACGTCTTATCCCCAACCAGACTACGTGAAGGACAACTAGCTAACTGCCTAGACCTTGTATTGACAAAGGCACCGGAAACCGTTGATGTTGTAAACTGTCTACCCCCTCTCGGAAAAAGCGATCATGTAGTCCTACAGTGGGAGTATTCTCTCTTCTCTGTACCCGATCAAAGCATCGTGATTAGACGCAACATATGGCGTGGTGACTTCAACCAAATGCGTCTCGACATGCGTCGTAGAGACTGGAAAGCAGCATTTACGGGGTGTGTCCTCAAGGACTGGCTAGAACTTAAGGCCATACTGAATGAACTTATCACCAGATACTGCCCTATGTCGAAAAAGAAAATCACCAGCAGGCCCCGATGCCTAAAGGGTTCACTAAAAGTTGAAGTAAACCGTAAGCAAAAGCTGTGGAAAGCATATCTTAGGGACAAGACAACTGAATCAAGAAATAGGTATAAGGCTCAGCGGAATAGGGTAAAGTGCCTTGTTTACAAAGCCCGCCAAGACTTCGAGGGTAACCTTTTAAACTGTGCAAGAGAAAACCCAAAGCTTTTCTTCAACTACATAAGACGAAGTACTCGCAACAGGGATCCCATTCCTATGCTAAAAACTGATGATGGCGTTGAACTTTACAAGGACGACGAAAAGGCTGAGCATCTGTCCAGGTTCTTTCAGTCGGTTTTTACGAGAGAAGTCGCTGTACCCACTGATCACTGTAATGTGGACAATGTCCCGACAATTGAGTCAGTGGTTCTCACAAAACCTATTGTTCAACAGGAATTACTGAAGCTAAAAGAAGGGACTTCGCCCGGTCCTGACGAAATACCTGCAACGTTGTTGAAGGTATTAGCCACAGAATTGGCAGAACCTGTGAGCGTCCTCTTCCAAGCCTCTCTTGATGCAGGCAGACTGCCTCCTGAGTGGAAGGATGCGTGGATTTCACCGATTCATAAAAATGGCAGTCGCGCTTCCGCAAACAACTACCGACCAGTAAGCCTCACCTCCATATGCTCCAAAGTTATGGAGCGAATAATCAAACGCGAACTGATGCGGTTTTTAGAGCAAAATCATCTTCTGTGCGCTGCACAGCACGGCTTCCGCAGAGGGAGGTCCTGCTTGACCAATCTACTCTACTGTCTTGAACAGTGGACCCGAGCGATTGATGAAGGAAACGTTGTGCATGTGGCCTACATAGACTTCAAGAAGGCCTTTGACAGCGTGCCACACCAACGTCTCCTACACAAGCTCAGCCGCATAGGGGTAAGAGGCAAGCTTTTGAAGTGGATTGAAAACTTTTTGGTCGGTCGGTCCCAGACTGTTCGTCTTGGTGGCCAGCACTCGGCAGAGGTGACGGTTACGAGCGGAGTACCTTAGGGCTCCGTTCTTGGCCCTATCCTCTTCCTCATCTATATTGATGACTGTATCCATGGATTGGACTGCAAGATTGCCATGTTTACTGACGATATAAAGCTTTGGACCGTCATCCGCAACGAGGACGATGAAGCAAATTTACAGGCAAACTTAGACCGACTCGAAAAATGGTCAGGCCACTGGCTCCTCCCATTTAATGTTACCAAATACAACATTCTGAGGATTGGCAGAACCAGCTCTGCGCACCGGCAGACGTACTGTCTAAATCACACACCGCTGCCACTGGTAGAGGTTCAGAAAGACCTAGGGGCGTGGATAACATCTTCACTAAAGCCATCATTCCACTACTTGAAAGCAGCGAAATCCGCAATGTCCAGCTTATATCTCATTAAGCGGGCATTTGCCAAGTTCGATGAAGAGTGCTTCCGCAAGGTCTTCGGGATGTTTGTGCGCCCACAGTTAGAATTTGCCATTCAGGCCTGGAGACCCTGGACTGTTAAGGATCGTACCACCCTCGAAAAAGTCCAACGACGGGCAACCAAGCTTGTCAGAGGTCATAAAAACCTACCTTACGAAACCAGACTTTCAAATCTAAACCTCTTTCCCCTGGACTACAAACAACTCCGTGGCGACTTAATTCAAAAGTTTAGAATGTTACGGGGTCAGGACTGCTGCCTCGCATCCGGCGACTTCTTTGAGCTGGCCACCACTACTAGCTTGAGAGGACACCCTCTGAAACTACGTGTGACATGAGCGAGACTGGACGCAAGGAGGTCCTTCTTCAGCCACAGAGTGGTAAAGGCATGGAACGCCCTGCCTGTGGATGTCGTCATGTCCTCATCCGTGGACTCATTTAAGAGAAAGCTTGACCAGTACAGGGATATGTACCTCCACAGCATCAGAAACTAACGAATTCCCCTCTGTGCCACCCGCCCCATCCAACGTTTTATGTTACAAAGCATGCTACTCCCTATATTTTAGTAACATTACGTTTTACAATTTTCGCTATCTCCTGACCGCCACATATGCGCTTGCTTTGATATTTCTTGGTACATTCATTGCCGTACTGCATATTGTACAATTTTGACATAGAAGGCATTCACAGACAAATTCATACCAGTGACCAATGCTTGTTGTATGTAATTACTTACCTAATTTTTTTCCCACTTGCCTTACACATTGTTTTTTTATGACGTTATTGTAACCAAAAGGGAGTTCAAAGGCGCTCGCCTACTTTTCCCTTAATAAATCTGATCTGATCTGAGCTGAAAACTGTCTTTTGAAAGAAATTAGGTGTCACTTTTTCAATCGGGATTGAGTTCCACGGTCGACCTCCAGACCGACTGAAAGAAAACTTCCGTAGGTCTAGGCGCGTACATTCGCGATTGAGCTTGTACGGATGAACGCGCAGGTGACTCATACTCGTAAACTGTAAGAAATCATCAGGTTTGGGTGAGCACTCATGTCTGTGGATGATGCGAAATGTTAATAGCGGCTTGCACCTCATTCGTCTATAGGATAATAGGGAATAAATTGTGCTGGATCAGTCTTCCTGGATATTCACCTTGACCCAACTGTGAAAAACTCGGTGCCTCGGTGGGAATCGAACTCACGACAGCATGGGGAGGTTGGATAGGACAGAGTCTTAAGACCGCCCACCAGTTTTTGTCACCCGTCGTTTCACGTGTTTGGTCGAATCATCGTCTATTTTCATCCAGACCATCCATGCTGGCCTTCCTTATTCCAAAAGGGGTCTGACGAACTGCCAAATATCTGCTCGAAGAGTTCAGCGAAGTTCAGATTTATTAAGGGAAATATAGGTGAACGACTTTGAACTCCCTATAAGACACACACCGCCTAAGAAAAGTACCGATAAGTGGAAAGTCGAGTAAGACGTTGTGTAAAAATACTGCGTGCGAAGGGCAGGTAGCTGTCTGTCAACCGAAAAAGGGGTGAACGTGAACGCCTACTCACTCCTTCTAAGTGGTATATATATATATATATATAAATCCCGTTCATCATCCTCCGAAGAAGACGAAGAAGAAGATGGGGCGAATTCATGGACCGAGTTATGTTTGTACTGACGTTTCGGATACCCTCTCGTTTCCATCATCAGCGTAATGCGTTGACTGTTCCTGCTGGTCTTGATTGCGTCAGCCTTGATACCTGCCTGGTATTATATCCGTGCACGAGGCACGAACTTTGACCTGCCCGTTCGCCGCCGATTAGCGTTGACCTCTCCACGATTGACCGCCGGTGGGCTCCTGCCACTAATGACCCCTTTTCGGCCGTCGTAATTGTTGGTGAGCCAGCATGTTTGTCGGCCTCCCCCTCGTCACTCAACGGACTGAACAGTTGTTGGGGCTCATGTGAGTTGATCTCAGCCTCGTGGGTGTTGCGGTGAGGTGGCGTCGCATGCTGGTCACATGATCCCCGGCCGGCTTCTCTCCCACTTTCTGCTGACATCGGCTGTCGGCCACGCATCACTTTGCTCGACTGTCCTGATGGCCTTGTCCGCACTGACTCGAGCCTTGTACGTAGCGCCTGATAGGCGGGATGCAGATCTATGGCTCTGTTGAGTGTGCCAGTCGAGGACCAACTTTCGAGCACCAGTCTGGCCATCTTATCATTGGCTCGGCCGATTACCCTTGCCTTTTCAAAGGCGAAATTGTGGTTCTGCTGTTTGACGTGGCCATAAACCATAGACAGCTTGTCCTTGCGATTGATTGCAAGCTGGTGTTCATGCAATCTTGTGCCAAGACGTTTGCCCGTTTCACCAACATACCTCGCATCACAGTTTTGACATGGTATGCTGTAGACCACCGCTGATTGTTCTGTCACCGGTAGCGGGTCTTTGGGTCTCACTATTTGCTGTCTGATTGTTGACTCTGGCTTATGAGCCACTCCGATCCCGAAAGGCTTCAGGATTCTTGCCGTCGCCTCTGACACGTTTTTCACATAAGGGATTGCGAGCCAAAATTTCGGGTTTTCTCCGTCCAACCGCTCAGGGTGGGGCTTCTTAAGACACTTGCGTATGAAGGACTTGGGATAACCGTTGGCTTTAAATAGGGCGTGCAAGTACTTAATCTCCTCCTTCCTCCCATTGTCGTCGCTGCCGTATGTTTGAACGCGTTGGAAGAGGGTCCTGACACAACTGCGTTTGTGACCAACGGGGTGGTTGCTCTTGAAGTGGAGGATTCGCCTGGTGTTAGTTGCCTTACGGTAGACCGCTGTCCTTATCTTCCCGTCCTCCAGCTTTGTCACTTGTACGTCAAGGAAGGCCAGCTGATTGTTGAGCTCTTCTTCCATAGTAAACTGGATGTCGGGAAAGATTGAATTCAACAGTGCCTTGAAAGCCTGCACATCGCCCCTTTTGATGATAACGAAAGTGTCGTCGACGTATCTGGCCCAGAATTTTGGGGGGTACGAGCTGAAGACCAGCCGCTCAAGCCTCTGCAAAACCGCTTCGGCAATTAATCCAGATAGAGGCGAGCCCATCGTGCGACAAGTCATGTAATCGTGTGTGTGATTGGTAATTGGGAGGCTTGACATTTAAATGAACCCACACAGGATGAGCGCACAACATCTGTGGGCAGGGTGTTCACGTTGCGACCGATGTGTTACTGAAAATCTTTCGTTCGTGGATTTTTGCTTTACCTGCTCGTAGTTTTAGGAGATGATTACCAAAATTAGGCGTGTTAGCGTGAGTAAAATAATCACTGGGAACTAAGCAATAGTCTGGGTCGTTTATAATGCGGGAATTCAGCATAAGACCACCGCGTAGTTGCCGTGAGTTAAGGCCGAACAGGTTGGTAGTAGACAGTCTGGTTTCAAAGGGTAGTGCTCCCAGGCCTTGTGTCATTTTTTTGCCCGTCTCTGAACCCTCCTTATGAGGGCATAGTCCCTGACAGTCCAAAGCCTGCATGTCAATATGACATATTTTAGATGAAGCCGCAGGAAAGTGTCAAATATTTTGAATAAGATGTCTTTGTCAAATTCCATAAAGGTTCGCCTAATGAGTTGCAATGTAGACATGATTTACTTTGTCTCCATCGCGCAGTTCATTGTTGGTTTGAGTGAAGAAGTTCTGTGAAGAAAGCAAATTCTGGGGCTGGAGGTTCCGCAGCTGGCGAGCAAACAAAAGTTGCAGTTGCTTACATTGGATAGCATAAGCCAGCGTTTCGACCGGCCCTCAAGCCTGTTCAAGTTTATTTGCAGGTAGTCTCTGTCTGCCGCATTACGAATAACTTTTCACAATTTTACATCGTCAGTGAACAGGATGACATCACAGTCTAGGTCCGTGGCGCAATCATTGATTAAAACAAGAAATAACATTGGGCCTTAGACTGAGCCCTGTGGAACATCACTCACTACGGTTACCTCTGAGGACCGCTGGCGCCCGACCTGCACTCTTTGGGAATGCTCAGACAAAAAACTTTGAATCCATACAAAGAGGCTTCCATGAATTCCTGAGTTGCGCAGTTTATGCAAGAAAAGCTGACGAGGAACGCTGTCGAAGGCATTTTTTGGGTCGATGTAGATGGCGTGCCCCGTATTGCCTTCGTCGCGTGCTCTGATCCGGCATTAAAGTGAATACAGATTCGTAAGACGGGACCTACCACTGCGAGCTCGGTGTTGGGCATCGGAGACGAGGTGATGCTCCTCGAGGAATTGCATAAACGCTTTCTTCATGATTTTGCAGCAGATGTAGGTAAAACTAACGAACAGTATTAAAGGATAAATGTTGTTGGTGAAACATAAAGGTACCTGATTGCCCTGTTATCTCATAGCACGCGATTTTAAAATTTATGACATGCAATCTCTCCCTTATTTTTTGCAAGAAATTGGCAAATATGCAGTTTACGGGAAGTAATCACTTATGCCATGATGCACAAAAACGGTGATCAAAAGAGGATACTTCAAGACCAGAAGGTATGGCGTTCGAAGTCTGCAAGGGAATGTTAATTTGCAGAAAATGTTAGTTGAAGCAATATTTTCCCGGACTAAATATAAAGTAGGCGTGGACAGCAGAATTTATTGGTACCAGTAAATTTCGCGACGGCTTCTCAACTCCAGCCTGTCGTTGCATAACGCAAATAACAAGTGAGAAAGGTACAAAGGTTTGAATTTCGACAGAGAAATCAATGTAAAACAGCAAATGAAATATTTGTGCTACTTTGCACTGCCGCTATGAGTGATGCATGATAACAAGTTTTCTATTTAATCCAAATCCGTTCCACACTGGCTTATTTTCATTCTTGCCTATGCATTCAAATCTATTTCCCTTGTCTGATTTTTATCTGCATTCACAGCACGCATTTCCTGGCCGATTTCACGAACGATGAATTATGAGCCTTAAATGCTTAATAAATACTAGCCCACCGTTATCAGCTGGTGGCGTTGCTTTCATGCATTAATTAACAGCAACGTCACTTGTCTGATAAAGTAATAGGCGTATGTGGTCGGCGAAATTGCACGACCTTGTAGTTTTCCAAAAAATTACGAGATATTCTGGAATTCTCTCTGAGAACCTGTCTGAAGAATGCACGATTTGCACATGATTCATTTAAGTAAAATATCTATCCGACCATATGGAACTATTCTGCTGCTACGCCCCATGCTCTTCGCCACTTCCATGACAGCGTCTGTCTTCTAAAATGTAGGTGGGCCTTCACGTGGGCGTGCGATTTCCAGCTCTGCTATTATATCGAACTTGCTAACTGGTTCATCCTACTCGCGAATAATAATTTATCATCAAGGCTGCACACGTGGCATTGTGTTCGCCTTTGAACTAATGATTCAATCAAGCACACCACTCATGCTGTTCAGTGGGAACGGAGCTTTTGTGGATTTTCGTTTCGGTTTCAGTGGGTGGATCCTTATTCGATTTTGCCGTTCTCTAAATTTGAGATTAAACACGTGATACATATTTGTCGTATTAGTTCTATAATCTATGGGAAGCCTGGGTGGAATTTCTTTATAAATGACCTAGAAAATAGCGAGAATACACAGCATACAACGATAGGAGACAGCAGCCACAATATAGACATGCCTGAAGGAAGATGTTGCCAAGATGGTTTTTGCTGATTTACCCAAAGGAACACCGTAAGCCTCTACGACAGAATGAGGTATACGCTTACTATGTTCGTCCTTAGACGACAGGATGACTCTAAACAGTGTGAGGCGTAAAACGATGAAAAAGCGCTTTATTTGCAGAGGTAATTTTGATATTCTTGCTAATTATGCGAGTAAAGCTGTGCACAAAAATTAATCAACTAATAAGAATGCTTAGGAATTCAGGAAAGGGGATTGACGAAGACACACCAATTTACACGAGGAATATTACACACCACCTGAGGAAGATTGAACCGCGTGCCCTCCTCTGTATATTTACTAAATTTGCTTCCTTGATCATTTAAAAAAGAAGGAATGGAATGACGGCAATACCGCAAAGCTGTCATCAAATTACGAATGGCCACTAATCAGGGACAGGTGAGGTAATAGAATCACGCATGTATGCTAGCCAGGTGAGGTTACCATAGGGAAATGTTATAAATTTTAACATAGATCTGGACATGCACACGGCATAGGTTTGGGTTTGCGATAAATATAGCACTAACTGACTAATTCTTTCGGGACACGATCTGGGATGTCAGTCGGAACATTCAATTAAAAGGTCTAAAATAATGAGGTATCAATTTGCTACACTGGATTTTTCAACGTAGTGCAAGGCGATAAGTGTACTGTGAAATAAAAGTCCACAGCACGTACAAATGACACGTCCACTATCAGCTGCAGCGGGTCTTTCATTGTCACTTGCAGCAATTTTAAACAATGCAAATTTTCGGTAACGCAAGCTGAACTCGACGGCAGGGGATGCTTAAAAAGTCCGGGCGGATTTAGACAAAGATGTTTCAAGTAAAAAATCAGCAAAATATCATTAATTCCTGATGGACGCGCGTTTTGGCAATTGGATAAGAGAAAACTGAGGGCGCTATGAGGATAAGATAATAAAAAGGCCAGCAAGAATTTTGTAGTTTGTGACGCAAGGCATACTTGCGAATGCTACTTTTAGGACGAGTGAAATACGGCCTTCGGTGGACACAACAGCTTTCTCACTCGACAGCGCACAGTTGTTGAGTGATCAAGCGTTCACGATATCGGTGCCATCCTGTGAAAAGTTCGTTTAGTTGGAAATCAGTATTGCGGTTTAGCTTTTTAACGTATGCCGTGATCCTTGATGATGCAGCCATGTCAATTCGCCTTCCTTTTGTTTGTGTCATATTTTAGGCCAAAAATCTTGTATTCGTCGATGCATATTCTAGGTTGCAGTGATGATTTCCTACGTAAACTATCTTACAGTCTGGATCTGCTACCCCATAATTTAAGTTACGCCTTGGATTACTTTAGCTTTGATCTTTAATACGCATAGCCTTATTGTGTTTTGATTTTGCTGGCTGTGAATGCAACTCTGACGTCAACAAACTTGCAGATAATCCGTAGTCTTTAATTTGTTTCAGGTGGAGGGGTATAATTATCGATCTAGCCCGACTTCTTTTGTATTTGATTTGAGTTCTTACTATCAACTCTGTAACTTGCCCTTTGGAGATATTCGTTATCAGTCCGTTTCTTCTTTGTGAACCTTATTTTAGAAGTGTGGATATGCGTATGCTGCAAGAAACCACGTGAAGATTCCTCATTTGCCCTGCACATGGGTCAAATAAATCACTACCACTGAAGTAAGAGGTAATTTAAATCACAAGGCTTTATTCAGGAATCCAAGGAAATATGAAATAAGTTAGGTCATTTGGCTAGGCGTATTACCGAACTTGGTTCAATCATGTTGGTCGTCAAAAACATTAAAATACGTCCATAACGTTTAGTGACGAAAACACAAAAAATAGCAACATCGAAGAAATTTTGGATTGGATGGCTCCAGCACAAGAAGTGGTATCTAGTCAATTATCGGATCTACAGACCATCATTCATCACCGCCGTGCTAACGACTTCTTCCAAATCAGTCAAAAGAGGGGTTGAGCAACAAAATCGTGATAGAGAATGTGTTCTGCCATCGTCGTCTAATATCCTTGGAGAACCACATTCCCCAGAGGGCGATATATCAACAATAAATAAGAACTAAGTCACCAAAGAGCAATGTCTCATTATTTAGGTGCTCCCTGAATCAAACGCCAAAAGTTCCAAAGAGCATGTTTTGGAAGATCTAAAACTTTTTCGAGGTCTGCTCAATAATATCTTGGAACCCACTGAGGCAATTGAAGTTCTCAAACCCGTGTAAGAGAGCAAAGTAGGGAAGTAAGGCCTCCTTCGCCTCAGCTACCTCCGGAATAAATCGGAGTTTAAGTGTCAGGGAAGGCTCCCAGGCACATAGCCTAGAGCTATGGCATGCTCCGAATCCATGTTATGATGAAACAGTTCCACCTTCGATGCAGCTTTCAGGTCACTATGCTAATCGAGATAGTTCCCGAACAAGAAGTCTATGATGACATGTTTACGGGAGCTTCCTGGCAGGAAAACAACAAGATGGGAGGACAGCCGGAAGAATTTTCTCAAACATCTGAACACCAACCACAAGGTCCGGAAAGCTTCTGCGCGGGAGATGCATGCTTTGCAAAATGCCATGAAAGTCAGAGTATCAGTCCTCTGAGAAAACTGGAATGAAAGATGAGGCATCGAACAGACATAACGTTGTCAGCGTGATTTAACGTCACTAGCACCCATTTCCTCTGCAAATGTCCACAGTGTTACGAGGCCTTAATAACCTCGATTGCTTTTGGAGGGCATTATCGAATCTGCCGCAATTTCATAAGATCATTTCATCTCATTACACCGTATGGCATAGTCAGGGTCATAAACAAAGACGCGATCCACCCCTGTCCCCGTAGTAGCACCACGTCCCTGTCGGATATTCGGTCAGATGTGGTTTGCTAGCCCCACCTGAAGTACATTACCTGTGCTAACTCATGAAATGTCGTGAATTAATACAGGTAAACGACTTTAACGCAGAATCGGTAAACAATACGGCTCCCAAAGTCTGATAGCGGAAAATAAAAGATGTTTCGAAGAAATAAAACAAAGTTTGGTCTAGAAAATATTATTTACTGAGATGAAAATAAATAATTTTCGACAGAAGTCGCATTTTCAAGAAACGCCTTTATTACAACCAAGTTCATAAAGGCTACGTATGAGGGCGTATAAAGGAGGAGGGCGCATAAAAAAGACAAAAATAATTAAGGACAGAAACAGATACAAAATTCAGTACTTTGTTGATTGTCCATTTGAATTAATAACGGCAGAAAGTCTGTCAGACATAGACATGACGAGAATATCTATGGTGGATTGTAAAATGTAATTATTGAATATGAAATCCAATTTTTACTGCATTGAAAGAGTCTTCTTAGCTTTGTGCCAATTTATTTTGACTATTCCAAAAAGATTTTCGGTAGGATTCAAATCGGGACTGTTGGCCAGGATGAAAATGGATTGGAGGCCAATTGCGGAGAGGGTGGTTGTTGTCTAAAATGTTAGGTTATATTTGCAAGCGGCATCAAATTCGTACCTCTTTAGAGCGGTGGACAGGTGCATTGTCGTGCAAAATTACAGTACACATTCGGCGCCGACTTATGCCGTTGTAGCCGAAAGCATCCTTGACAATTGCAATAAACACCTTGCTGTTGATGGTGTCGGATGTTTATCGCCAGACAGGTCGCTCACCGAATTTAATCGCCATCCAAACCATCATCCGCCGACAGTTCTTGAATGTTGCCGTCGGTGTAGTGCGTTCTCTTGGGAAGTTCTTTCCACATATGACGGTTTGGAGCGATTTCGTGGGCTTGTCTAAAAATAAAACCTCATCGCAGAAGAAAATGCTCTTTCAAAATGAAGATCTGTAAGCAATATAATTCTCAGCAAATAAAAGCCGTTCTCTAATTAGTTTTCTACTTAAATATGGCTTACTCATGGACTTTTGCCGCTGCAGTTCAAATTCCTTCATCCCTTTCCTAATGATGTTCATAGAAAACCGGCAGATTTTCCCGTTGAATAGTCTCAATGGGCATGTAATGAAACTTTTTAATGTATGACGAATAAAATCGTCGTCTTGCTTACTTGTGGACCGTTTGGGTCCCCCTATCTTATTTCTAGGAACAGTTTTATCATTAATAATGCGCCACAGAGTGACCTTACTAATATTGAAAATACTAGCTAACGACTCACGTGGGGTTCCCTCCGTCGCTAATTTTCGAATACGCTGGAAGTCAACTTCGGATAAGTATTGTTTAGACATAGGTATCATTTGGCGTGATAGAGAAAAGTGACGGCACGTCGTGCGAACTCAATATATATTCGTTTACGATAGGCATTTTCGGTCTGGTAAAACAATCACACTGATAAACTTATTTTATTTCGGTATTTTGAATCATAAAACTTTACGGACTTGTAAAATACAATTTTTACATAGCGAATCGCACCTTATTTCCTGAACACAATAAGAAATAATTTATCTGCATTTCCCTGATTTTCTTGATATTGAAATTTAATTTTTTCTTTTTATACTAAAGTTTATTGAAAAAATTCTTCCTTTTATTAATCTTCTTAAACAGATTAATGGGGTAAAACAAAGAATTTCGATCCGAAAGCTATAATAGCGTAGGAAACTGCTTGAATATTAGGAATCCTCCGATTTCGCCTAAATTCGGCCCGTTTTCTATTTAAGATACAGATCCGTATCAAACTTTCCTTCAGCAAACGGCCTTTTCGTCCTTATTTCAGCTAAATAAACACAAATAACAACACCAAAAATACGCTACAGTTTCCACTATAATTTTGACCTCGGCATTTCATGAGTTAGCACAGGTACTGTAAATATACGGGATCGGTGGTAATAGTCTGTTTTACAGGTGGGGCCGGAGAACACAGGCGACGAGGTCAAGTAGTTGTATGCAAAAGAAAAGGTATTGCGAATGCGCCGTTGTACTTTGAATGGGGTGAGAAATAGTTGCGCTAATCCCCAGCCCTTATACCTAACTCTAACCCCTAATCCCAAACCCTAACCCCACAACCCCCAACCATAACCTGAACCCGAACTCCTAACCCTAGCCCTAACCCTTAACCCCAATAATATTGTGTCAGTCAGGTGGGACTACCAAACAACATCTTACCGGATATTCTTATCGTGCATCTACGGTTACGTCGCCCGGACACAGGGAACAAAGTCCATGAAAACAAGCACACATCGCATTTGTTATCGCATGTTCGAATCAATAATCGACCTGGCTGATCACTCTCCTAGGTATCGCAGTGCTAACATGGCACAGGTGACAGAATCCTCTGATAAATCCCATCATGTCCGTCGTTCCACACCACACCATTCCTGCACATTATGATATCACGCTACCCCGTGCTAGTGCATGTGCATCTGCGACATCAAATACCAAAGCAGCATTAATCTGGCTCACCTTGAACTATCGCACTCTCCACACACAACCAGACGACGAATTATCTACGCGAGGACGACCAACAGAATATCGGGCAGCTCTCATTGAAAAGTAAAAAGTACATTTGTCCTCGTCATGATGACGAGCGTAACATCGCATATGCCTGTGTGCAGCTCTCACTTATGCGAAGGCATTGCTTTGATAAGGAGTAATTTGCGAGATATGAGGGTATTGTTAGGTGCGCGTAAACATTATCATACCATTTTAGCCCCTTTTCTCATCACACCATCATGAAGGGCGACTGGATTTGGCACTGGCATCGGATAGCAGAGTCGACCACCTCGGAGTCGTATGCAAGTTGCTCAATCGGAACTATGAAGCCTGATTTACTCGTCATCTGCAAAATGTCCCACTGATATGATAACTTGGTACTTCCCTGAAATGCGGTTCTGACTAAAATGTGGCTTTCTCAATGTGAGCTTTACGACACCCTCTCCTCATATGAGATCTGAGGTTTGTTATCTGAGGGTGGTTCAAGAGGACCAAGGGATCATCTCGTGTGTAAGACGCGCAGGCGCTTTCATACGCGTCACCAGTTACCTGGACACTGCATTGCCAACAGAATAAAGTGAACCTTTGAGGAACGTGGTTCAGCAGGTACTGTTACAGTGGGCTGTACTTCTCCAGTTGGGTTCATGAACAAGTCAACTGAGGCGCTTCATCGCCTGCGTTCCCCAAAGTGGCCTGTCTGCGCTGGCCTTATAGGTTGGTGCGTACTATTTAAAAACACGGAAATGCCACATCGTTGTATAGCCATCTCTATTCCTTCTGTAGGAGCAATGATACAATTATTTCCCTCTCGCTGTCTCCAGTCTAAGGACGTCTGGGAGTCCATGACGCATATAACTCGTTCATTGTTCAATCGTATCGGGGGCGCAACTTGGAAGCAACGCTGATTAAACATCAAGGGGTGGCAGGCGGTGAGTTTTGGAAGAGACAGAGGCTGAGATGACTGCTGCCTCTATTATCAAATCTGCAGGCTACGCTCCACAACGCTTACTTCGTGAGCCAGTGGTGGGCCTGGGTTCTTGTGACAGTGTAACCATCAGTACATTGTTCTGCCACCAATGCCACAGGACCTATCCTCTTTACCAACTTGACATACCATCACGTGTGTATCCATATTCGAATATCAGTTGTTATGACATCGTTTGCTGGCAAATCCAGAGGCTCACTTGGTAAAGACAAAAATACACAAACCTAACGACACTTAAGTCCAGTGAGGTTGAAAAGGCTGTTTGTCTAGTGCGATGGTGAGTATCTTTTACATGCTCACCTTTTTGTCCGCGTTAGGTTTGGAATAATGCTTAACCCTTATTCTGTTAAAGGTTCTGGTTCGTTCCCCATATAGGTCTGTCAGTTGGAATCATACCTATCGTGTCTAATTCGTCTTGACCCCCGATTAACCATGACGCATGACATGTAGCTCAGCATTTTCTGGCTTTTTAATCGGTCGAGATTGTTTTACAAAAAGTGCAGGGTAGACGGCTTTAAAACTTGTTTGGGGGCTTATGTCCCCATACGCATGCAGTCCTTTGTAGACACGAAATGAGCCAAATGACGAAGTTTTCTGAATGTAATTTAAAATTAAGGCTGAAAAAATATGCGACTCTTGATTGCCCGTATGAAATGGATAGGACAAAACGATGACATTTCAAACATCTGCATTTTCGTCGCCGTAAAAGTAGATTACAGCAGTTACAACAGCAACATATGGAACAGTTTGTTTTTCTTTATGGTGGCAAACCGAAGACGGTAGTTTTATTTGTACTGCATAAAACGTTAACATTTAGTCTGCAGACCCGTACACGTTCGACGGTGTCGTACTATGCAGCATCCTAAATGGGTTATATTGCTTTCCATCGTCACCACCTAGTCCTGGAATATTAAGGAAAACGTGGATTATGTTGTTGCCGCCACCGTTCCCTGCTCCACCAGCACTCTTGCCGCCTGTCTTCTTGTCATTGCGGTTGTGCCCGTTGTCCTTATCGTCGTCGTCGCCGCCGCCGCCGCCGCCGCCGTCGTCATCGTCATCTCCTTTTTCCTTTTTCTTGGCAGGTTTGCAGCAAAGCATGCAGAGTACAAGAACTATTTCGACAACCGCGATGACTGTTGTGAGAATGGGCAGAATCTTCATAAGATTAGAATTCTTTGTGGCTGTATTCTGCAACAGAGAGTGGTTCGGATCATTGTCAGAAGATAGTGAGATCTTTTCAAAAATTGCCTCTGAAACACTTGTTCACTGAAACAGACATCATGTAATCAATTACCTTTCCGCCTAAACTGTAATTTAGATGATTACATTTTATAATTTTTTGGAAGAATAACCCTGCATGCATCGACCTCTGTCCTTATAATTCCGCATTGGGATTTCACATGTCGCGCATAACAGTGTAACAGACATTTTGATTCGTCGCTGTAAATTTACATATTTCAGTGACAGGTTTAATTTTGCATCACATTTGGAACGTCAAAAATAAACTTACATAAATACCACGTAAACGTCATTCTAACAGAGGTGTACCCCAAAACACGAGTGATTAGAATTTCGAAAGGTGTTCCGCCACGTTGACGTGTGGCAATATTACGTATGTTTCCATGTCACTTTCTGAAATTTACGATCTTTCTGCGATTTTCATTCAAACTCAACTAGCATGTTTGTTTTGCCTTGTTTTACTGCAAGGGTATTCATTCAGTTTGAAAGACATTTATTGATGACCGCACTTTTTAAAATAGGTAATGTTTGATTGCTTTACCTCCGCACAATTTTCATTCTAATACGGCCTTACGAAAACCATCAGCAATTCATCAGTGGAACACACGATTGCCGGAAGGATAAGTTATTCCTCTAGACCTGCTCACTGAAGAGTCTTGCAGCTTTCCTGTAGAATTCACGTAACACCTAACAGGCGATGCAACTGCTAACCCAAGCAGTAAAATTCCTCTGATCTGTGGGATACTTGTTAAGAACTGCTAATGAGTAACAAGATACAATAGTTTTGATTGAGTAGGTGGTCTTTATTTTTAGAATGACGACTTAAAATTTCATTGATTAAGTTGAAATTCAAAGACTTACGAATTGCTTCAGTAGTACAAATGATGCGATAAGTGCGACGGCTAAAATAAACCGGTTTGAAGAATTAACCCATATGAAATGCAGGTGCAATAGTGTGTTGACTTAAAAAACAAAGCACTCAATCTTATACGTGTTCAGCATGTATCCAACTTCAACATTTTGCTTACATCTAGATTGGATCAAAACACTAAAGAAGTCGTGCAAAAGTTTCTTTTCGAAACTTATGAAGCTAGTACTTGATGTCTACAGTTACCGAATTGGCATCAAACATTTAAACTGTCTAGAGTGGAAGATTAAACCTCGAAACTACACCAGCATTTTATGCCTCCTTGTTTTCAGAATGTTGTGTTTCTAACTGCAGACATTGTTTCAACGTGTTGGATCCTTTTTGTCCCCGCCCATAAGTGGCATGCAATTTGCATGACTAAATACTCAAATTTGGCGTATTTGCATAAAGCCTCGACACAAACATAGCATTTTTATTGTTGGGGAGTGTGGAGGAGCATTAGAGCTTTTCTTTATAACGTGAACCCTACATGTCAACGTCGCGAGCTTTCCTCGTCTGAGAATGGAATTTGGGTTAAAAAAACACCAAGAAGAAAGAAGTTTTGCACAAGTTTTTTTGAAGTAATCAAATAGTGATGCAATTGTGAAGTAACTGCTTGATGTCTGCAGGCGTTGATGTGGCATATTTTTAACACAATGTCCCACTGCTCAGAAAAATATACCTGGCAACCACACCCAGTGTTTGTACCTCCTCAAACCAACTCTTTTTGGATTCTCAAGTTGAAAAGTGTTTTAGATGTATGGAACCTGCATACCCCTGCTCATAAATATCGCGCTATTTGTACGGCCGAATATTCGACTTTGGTAATTTGGCATAAATGTTCAAGACAGAATTATTTTGTTCTTGCTTTGTCAGGGAACTTGAAGGAGCATTCGAGTTGTTATTCATAGCATAGCCTGTAAAATAATATTGAAAGCTGGCCTTGTCTGAAACATTGTTTGTTCTAAACGAAACAGTTGCCGAAACTCGCTGAGACTTAGCTCAATGCATTACATTCAAGGCATGTAATTTGCAACAAACCGTATTCGTTTTTATGTATCAAGAGTGCCCGCTTTTCGTGTTTCCCACACACCTTGTTACACATTTACTAGAATGTTAATCCGAAGGATAAAACACGTGCTAGTTGGCGACTTTACAAGAGCACCAGAACAGTAAGCACAGATTCTGCTGCAAACGACACCCAGTCGAATCCCCACACTATGAATGAATGTGATGTAGCAACTTTAAATATTTAATTTTTAATACTGTGACATGCGTCAATTTCGTCGGCTGTAGGCAGCAACAGGTTGATAAGCGTGAGAGTGGGGATCACAGGTACGGATATTGTGATCCAGAGCCCTTGCAATACTCAGCATGATGGCAGGCAGCCAACAACGCAAAGACCCCCCTCGATGTTTACCGGTGCCAGAGAGTTGGACTTGGGACACTTGTGCCGAGTTCCGAAGCCCGTTTCTTTTGGCGTATGATTCAGTCATGACTTGTTAACGAAAGCGACTAAAATTGGCGCTTTCTTTCTCAGTTATCTACGTCGAAACATTACGATATATATAGTAATGACCAGTCCTTATGGATGCAATGCCTTTAATTACAAATTTATTCATCCTAATTTGCCCAGCTGGCAGCATTTCGGATGATTCTGTATTTTTTGCCTATTTTTCTTTAAAACTTACCGACTTAAGCGTGACAAAGATAAGGCATGTACATCCTCGAATTTCGGTGGCTGTGCGCTTTTGTGCGCATGCAATGTAAAAGTTGTTTCCATAGTTCATTGAAAACTGTATTTAAATCAAGCATACAGTAGGCAGCTTATCTATTAAATATTATCTTCTATTTATTGTTGTGCCGCCAAGCAGGTAAATGTACAAAGACTACGTTCGGCAAAAATGTTGGAGAATTTTCCGCTACAGAATATTGACTTCTAACAAAGCACTAAACACCTGTAAAAATAGCAGTAGGAAGAAATCAGCATTCGTTGATTTGTACTACCCTGATACATTTTCAGTGTTGGTGTAGCTCATTACAGGCTCCCAAAATAGTACGAAATTACCTTTGTGACTCATTTTCAAGTAGTCAGGAGCTTTCGAAAAATGCGCTTGCAAGAACGATTGTTGAAGACTAAAATATGTACATTATTTCTAGTACATTTCGGAACAGGGTTCTTACTTTCATTTTTCCATAAGGATTTTGACACAAAGACGTGGGTTGGAACAAACCGACTCCGTACATGTTTGCGTTTGAATATAGAGAGACCTCCGGATTTACACGAAATATTGACAATGCTATCATCTGTGCTGCATGCCTCACGATCGACTTCATTATTATCTGTGGTAATGAGTCAAGAATAATACCGACCCCCATAACCGACTTATATTTCGAAGTACTACAGAAAGGAGAAACCCTCGCTTAAGGCAAAAAAATAGAGAGGATGTCATTTTCTAGAAAATACCGTTGCTTTTTTGCAGATCTAACAATTTAATAAGGCACGCTGGCAATAAGTACGCAGTTTTTCCTGAATGCGTAACCTATACAAGTGACGAAGAAGATGCAAACTCAAAGGGCAGTGTAAAATGGATTTTTAATAATATCTCATCTTGTGTAGTTTTGAAACGTTTACTAATATGAGAAAGAAGGTCGGTGTCTACCTTCTTTAAAAGAATCAAAACCGTGCTACACACCAGTAGACAATAGAGCTGAACGACTATACTTCCAGAACCTGTTCGTAGCCAATGGATATCTTAGTTATTTTGTTGAGAGAATCAGACGTCGAGCGAACGAATGCCGGCCAAAGGAGCAACAATTCGAACATTGGAGAACCATTCCCTACAGTAAGGGAGGCCCTGAGGCGACTTCTCGATTGCTACAACTCGCCAGAGTAGAAGCAGTTCAACATCTCCGGACAGCGATCCGTCAGCGTTTGATGCAAACTAAGGACACGCCTCTATTCGCCCAAACTTCGACGGTTGTTTACAAAATAAGCTATAATGATGGGGAATAGAACTACATTGAGGAAACCGGATGTCGATTAGAGAATTACCTACACGAGCATTAATTAGCAACTCAGAGGTAAGACCCGAAATCCAAGCCTGCAACGAATATTGAAAGATCTGGCAATATTTTCGACCTCAACGCACGGCCAGCTTAGGCCAAAAAAATTCAAGGACAGAGCGAATAGCACTAGGATCGTGGTGATCAGATGCCACCTCAGTCAATAGGAATCTCGGCTATCCTCTAACTTATAAAGTCCTCCTTCACTGCGTACACAAACACCGGGACAAAACGGTCACGGAAACCTGAGAAAACCGCATGGACACAACCCGACGTTAAACTCACCGGACGGCAGAGACAAAGAGTCATCAGGCCGATGGCCTACCGCAGACTCAAATACCCCCACCGAAGCCAGGATTTATAACTCACGCAGCTGACAAGTCCGCCAAGCCTCCTTCAGGTGACCCTGGTAACATGAGGAAAATATTGGTCAGCCTCAGCCCGACTAACACGGCAAACCAATTCCATTGGTGAGGTGACGAAGCTCTCAAAAAAGTCAACACGCTAGTAAATCTGTTTCGGTAAGCTTTTCTTTTATCTCCAAATACCAACCCGAAGTTCTCGACTTTTCGTTTTTTGTAAAGTAAACCACATAACTTGATTTTGGTCATTGCTGCAGGACTTCTTGGCCCATGCGGTGCATGTAATGACATTCGCTATCGGGATTTCTGTTAAAAATCGTCGTTTATTTATTTAACGGAGGTGTCTTTTGCGTATTCACTTCCTGTTGCTTTTAAGGACTCTCACAGAACAGTATGTAATGAAATTTCTCGTTCAGCCAGTCTAAATTCAGTATAAACGTTCGGAAAATAATCTAGGTGGTAACCCTTAGTGTCATGATTGTTTTTAAAAACATGATCTGACATCTCTCGACTTCTTCAGACAGTCGACGTCTGCTGTTCAAGTAATGTTTCGTAAGACATTTTAGCTCGTAGAGTTTCCTGCCTTCTGTTACTGACTGGCATGCCGTCTCCTTTCCACTCCTGCATGATGATGATTAAATTCCAACAGCTACAATTCATTTAAGTGTAAAACGCATTTCAGGGGATCGATTCAGTATTTTTAAGCATTCTCAAAAAACAGGTAAACGTAGCTTACCCATTAAAAGAAGAACAATGAAGATCCACCTGAAGCGCTTTTTGATAGGCTTCTTCCACTTCTTGATTGACCTGCATTTGCATATGTTCAAGAGTATAAGCACAAAAGCGACAACACTGAGAACCACACCGAGGAGGAAAACTATTTTTCCCGCTGATATCTTGCCTAAATAGGAAAAGATGCAAGCACTGAATTCTACCCTTACTCATATACCACCTGACAGGTGGCAAAATGCACCTTTCCACCTGCCCATAACGTACTTTTATGGATGTAGCTGTTTCGGATTTGAGTACGTATAAGAACGTAAGATTGACAGGGGTGACTAATTTGAATGTTTCCTTATGTACTGTGTTAAAGGCGGGCATGAAACGTTGTAAGCATTCGGATAGATATGACATGGGTTCCTCTAGTGGCCAATACTCGTCTACGTTTTAGTATACTTCTCCGCAGTCAGTTAAAGTCAGACATGATTTGCAAAACTGGTCATATTCAAATTTATTTTTGAAAATCTTTTCCTGAAAAATTGCAAAAATTTATGAGAATACAGAAGTCTCCTTTAAGAAATGAAGGTATGTTCAGATGTCGTATATCCGCGACAATTGAGGAATTACGACCTTGGAATATAGCGCTAATAAAAGTCATTTTCTTCTTGCGTGAAGTTCGTGAATACCAATCTAACACGGTACCAAATTTGTGAAGCGACAGGACGCAGCTGAAGAGCCGTCACGAAATTTTTTGGTGCCAATAAATCTTGCCCTTCTTGCCTACTTCAGCTTCGTACCGGGGGCAAACTGCTGCAAATTTTTAAATTTTACATCGACAGATTTTCATATGTGTTCCATGCAGCTTTACTTGTCACCAAAGAATGGCAGGGTGTTGGCGTTCTGATGCATCGCATATCACGTTCTAGTATCACTGCGTGAAGGCCGATTCAGTTGAAAGTTTGTGAAACATATCCGTCAAAATCAACCGACAGCTTTCCTGAGAAGTGACAAAAAAACCTAATTAACTTTCATAGGCAAGTTGGTTTCAACTTGTCTATAGGTCTGAGCTTTAACGGCTCACACTGTGGGACTACAGTTTAAAAGATGCCTGAAATTTATAAATTCCAAGAAGTTTTTCTACTGGAGTATTGTACAACGGCGATTTAAAAACATGAACATACTGAATGACAGCAAATATACTCTCATTTGCAGCTTTAAATATTCCGTGAGGCGACTGCCCGACATGTCAGGAAACGAAGCAGGAGACATGAGCAATTGTTGATTTATTTAAAAGGAGCTAGTATTTTAGCTAGAAGACACAACTGCAAATAAAATTACATGGCATTATACCTTCTCGTCAGCAGTAAGGACAAAAAAACTCATCTTTCAGTACTAAGGTGTAGAAGGCCAAATCTGTTTGAAGTCATACTGAAATAAGAACCCACAGATTTCTGTACATAAAACGCAAAGCACCGCGAGCAAGATGGAGTGCTGTAATCTCACCCTTATTTTAATAAATGGAAAAATGTGACCTTATAAATAACGTATTGCAGTAAAATCAGAGTATGGTATACTTACATTTTAGTTCTTTATCGAACTACTTATAAAATATAGTGTAGGTTCAATGACGTTTTTAAGCAAATTGCTTTATTATCTAGACTAAGAAGCCAATTATGCAAATTAAATGCAATGATAATGTGGTCTATCGTGCAAAATATAACCCGAACGGTAGTAAATGAATCTTGCCTATTTAAAACGCGAAGAGGTGCGGTATTAGGCGGTAGATATTCACCACATTTTGAGCTATTCTCAAGTCCGTTTGCTTATTCAAAGAAAGTTTAGAAGCAAGCGTTAATTATTTGTTTCATTAGTTCGTTTTTATGTTTGTATTAAAAGTCAGTTTGTTTGGGGGACATATAGGCCCGCATTCTCTCCCGCTAAGTAAGACTATGGAACGTGAAAAACCAGGAGTTATATTCAACGTTTAGGGATAGCAGAGACAGAGAAATGGGGTAAAGTTACAGTCGACTTATGTCAGCTACTTTTATTGTTTCTATGGACTACCAAAAATCCACAAACCCAACGTTCCTCTGCGGTCAATCGTTGCTCTGAAAGACAGCCCCACATACAATTTAGTCAAATGGATTTCCTGAAAGCTCAATTTTCTCCGAGAGGGCTCTGTGGCGTCCGTCAATTCGGCCTCCCAATTCCTTGCCGACATTAGGGGAAAAACTACTCGACCCGACCAAATCATGGTATCCTTCGACGCCGTCTCACTTTTCACGTCCATCCCACCAGACTTGGCGCACGACGTGCTACGCAAACGCCTCGAAGAAAAGTACGACGAAACGACAGGGCCGCTAAGGATCCAGCACCTAATGCAGCTCTTTGCATTCTGCCAACGAACCTTTTTCACCTTCCTTTGCAGAACATACGAACAAATCAAAAGAACACCCAAGGGTTCCCCAATGTCCAACCTAGTTGCGGAATTGGTCCTACAAGAGCAGGAAAAGGTTGCTTTCAGTCACTATAAACCTGCGTTTTGGCGCCGATACTTGGACGATACATGCGTCATTATTGAAAAGGACAAGCTATCGGGTTTTGAAGACTTACTTAACACCATATTCCCCGACATTCAGTTTACAAGAGAAGACGAGGAGGACGAGAAACCACCCTTCCTGGACGTGCTCGTCACGCGCACACCTGACGGTGAACTCAACATTACAGTGTACAGAAAGGCGACCAATACAACCCAGGTCCTTAACTATCATAGCAATCACCCATTGGTGCACAAACGGGGCTGTGTGAGGGCGCTTTTCGATCGTGTAAAAACGCACTTTAGTGAGTCCGAAGGAAGGATGCAAGAACTACGGCATCTCCGGGACCAATTAACAAAGAACGGCTACCCAAATAGTTTTATCAGTCGCTGCATACGCACGCAACCACGACGGACAAAAGGAAGAGAGACACCAACAATTTGGCACTCCCTACCGCACATAAAGAATGTGTCCGAGGCTACAGAATGCATTGCGTCAGAGCTAGGCGTGGGCATCGCTCATCATCCAGCGGCCACCATGCGTAGCAGGATCATGAAAATGAAGGATCGGCTGGACGCAGGTGAACAGTCGGACGTAGTCTATCAAAGCCCGTGCCAAAACTGTCCTTGCCACTACACACGCCAAACAGGACGACGTCTCAGCTCACGAATACTTGAGCACAGACAGACCGTTCGAAAAGAGACCCACTATCTCAAGTCGCCACTCACACGCTGGAGGAAGGCCATGAGTTCGACTTCGCCAACACGCGGATATTGGCACGAGCCGGCAACAAGACAGGGCGAGAACTGTTGGAGGCGTGGGTGTCGGACACCACCTCTATCAACAGACACATCGATTTGCCTGCGTGTTATCACGCGCTCCGCCCACGCAGCCAGGTGGCGCAGTTCACGCCGTCGCGAAGTACAAACGGCGTCACCACGCCGGGGGACCATCGTGGACCAGGCGGCACAAACCTTACCTAGCCACGGGCGTACTCTCCCCCCCCCCGCAAGGGACAGCGATATAAATGTTCACAAGTTGCTGCACTCAAACAGTCTCTGATGATGAACTCCAGTTCGAGTTCGAAAGCTCAGGCAAACAAATCTACCGTCCCAGTGATCGTGCCTCCGTCTTCTTTTAAACTGACTACTTCTTATCGTTTTTGAAACCCATTTAATCTCCTCAAAAATAAAGAAACATGATTCCTTTTCTGCGAAAGAGCTTACTACACTAATAGGAACTATCAATAACGACCATCGTATGATGATTCATGTATCTGTTGAAGAAGGTCGCTATCCCTTCTGTGATATGCCAAACAAATAAAAATCAATTAAATTCCTGTGGAAATTGTCAGAGCTCATTACTTATCAATTTCCTCAAAAACTAACGGCTGACTTGGAGTATGTGACTTTATACTAAGGTTTAAAGGCGCAGACTGAAATTTGACGCATGAATATTTGGGCCGAAGTCTATCAGCCAGAGCGGGATAACCGCATAATATTCACGATCTGCCGACGGGGAGCTAGTAGTATATTTTAGCGTTACGAAATAACATGCCAGCAGTGCAGGTACTAGCTAATACCCATGCTTCAACTATGGTATCTTCTAAGGCTAAAATTGTCCGAGATGTCTTCGAATTCGATCTTCACAGTTCTCTGGGAAACAAAGTAACGTCTTTCTTTCATCGCTCAAATGATCTACACTTAAGCGGCGTTTCTTATTCAAATCAAAACATTCTAAATGATAAAAACTTTTCTGCACCCACCACCAACAGCCATTCTCATTCAGAAACATCCTTGGTAACTGTTTCATGGAAAATATCTTACTTTTGAAAAGCAATAGGCACAAAACTTAGGAGAATTTAAACGGAAAATGAAAAGGATAATTAACTACAGGCATTTTCTCCTCCTCTACATTTACTAAAATTACGAGTCAATAAAAGGTGGGGAACAGTCACTAGATGTTAAAGTATTTCACACGTTCCCTTATTTCTTCAAATTCGCGCTCCAGGTGCGTTCCGTAACACCACTGATGAACTTAAGATATCTGCCTGCAATTCACGGGCGTCATATGTGCAGGGTCTTAGTTTAGTATTTTCAGATTTCTAATCCGGGACATGTGACATGTGTTTTTTTCGATAAAACCATCAGTAGTTTTTTTTATTTGTTTCAATTTTTTGTGATTTTCTGTGGATATCACGGGAAACAGCTGTGAAAGCATCTACGCATGGTTGGTGCACATTTGCAAATAGTTATCATCGCTCTCCGCAGCCAATGTTCCTTCAAGGTGGAACACCGGGAGAACCAGCTGTTAGTGATTCTGTGCAAAATGTGTCTTGCATTAAGCAAAACCTTTGAGAATTGATGACTATTTTAGGTAATTGAGTCTACCAACTTGAACATGAGCGGAGAGCCCTGGTTTCACGGCAGCGAAGTTAGCGGTGGTACAAATTGTACTCAGACACGTGTACTCATCTGCCGCCACCGCGCATGCTAGCTTAGTGTGCAAAGAGGTGTTGCGTCGAATTACTGTGGTCCACAGCGTAACTGCAATCAGCTTCGGTCATTGATGTGTCACACAGAGGTAGATGTTGTTTTTGTCATTATTATTTTAATTAAACACTCTTGCCTTCACTTGAACTGGACAAATCTATTAGAAATGGGGTTTCGTTGAAGCTGAACCTGGAAACCCCTCCTGATATACTTGAGTGATGTCTACAACTTTCCCTTTCGTGAATTCTTAAAGAACACTTTTGCGAACGATTGTCTTCAGCGACTACGCCAAGACAACCAACTTTTTGCACTCACCAATTCACGAACATCACAAGCTGCTTTCATTTGAAGAATTTTAATTCACGGCCGGAAAGGATTAGACCGGTCTAAAAGTGGACATTTCATGCGATTTTACTGCCCCGACAAGCATATTTCCCAAAGAAACGCTATTACATCATGCCCTCAGTTCTGGTTCGTCTCTTCAAGGTAGGCAACAGAAAATTTTGAATACTCTTATTAATACTTTATTCAGCATGTGTCACACCTATCAGATATATTTGAAAGTGTAGCTAGTGAGTGCCATAGCAGTACCCCCAGACCTTTTTTTCTAGCCCCACCAGTAATTAATCTGCTTCCTCTAAGAAATACGCCATAAAAGGATAAAGGACTCGAGCGGCAAGTCACAAGGGTAGTTGAATACTTGGGAATTAGTAGTGGCCTGATAAGGGCTTCACTATGAAGACAATATTTTTATTGCAATTTTATAAAATGACTTGCCAGGTTACAAACAGCTAGAAATGCCTGCGCCCAAGAATTGTGCGAAAGGATTCATAGGCGACTTAACTGAATGTAAAAGCACAAACTGGAATTACTATAAGATATATCATTTGACATTGGAAGTTCCTCGTAGCCGAAACCGCCAAATGCAAAATATCGCTTAAAACTTCATTTACCCTTTTGAAGTGACCCATTAAATCCTGAGTGGTACTTTTCCAAATATGACTTAGATTAACATGACCAAACCCACTTGATATCGTCTGCTACCAAAGTGTCTGTAATGTTCGCCTGCGCGCCTGTTTGATTTAGAACATCGCCGCATTAGCGGTCCAGACTGATCCTCTACAGTTATCAGGTTCATCTGTTCTTAACTGTGGTGGCTAGTAGGCTTTTTCGCTGTTTACCTTGAATTTAAGCTTGAGATTAAAACTCAGTGGCAGTCCGTCTTCTTAAAAACTTCTAATAAACCCCACGGGTGTGCAACTGCGGCGTGCGCACAGATTTCAGATTTGACCTCGGATTTTAACATGTGAAATCAGCCGCTAAATAGGACTGCAAGTGGGGTAAACGCCTCTGTGCGCAATGAGATTAAACTGCTTAAAAATGTTTTTAATGCTTAAAACCTAGGGAACCGTTAGTGTGTGCAACCATCTCAGAAGCCATTAGTGGGAATTGCGTTTCGAGATCTCAAACTTGTTCTCAAAGTTAAATTGAGGAATAAATGAGGACGTAAAGCAAACCGCGTAACTAACCAAATGCTATTAAAAGAGTGAGGTTCACATACTCTTCCCATTTAAGCGCTGCTATTCACGAGATATGTGTTTCATAATTACACCATTGGTATTTATAAGGTCTCCGTCTTCTCGGTACTGCATATACTGTCTGCCAAATAAAAGTAAAAAGTGTCTTTTTTCCTTTATTATTGTCGCGGAAATGAACTAACACTCATAATTGCCTATGTGTTGCTTTACCTGTCTGATAGAGATAAATAACATCTACTCAAATGACTACAACGTACCATTATCTTTTAGGTTTAGACTGCATCCTTGAAAAGAACTTGGAAAAATTCCGGTTCCTAAAATATATAAAAGGAAAGCAGATGGTAATAGGCGCTGAAGTCAGTGGTTTTGGTAGTTTTAAAGAAGATGGCCTATAAAACTAAAGAGATAACAAATACTGTCGGAAACGGGTTCGATGACAGGAGGGTTCAGTTTGTTAGCGGAAAAATTCGTTTTGGTAAAGCTCCTAGCATCATGCTCTGTTATACGTTGACTTTATTATTTGAAGCACTTTTCCAATCTCCACGCCATACGATTTGAGACATCTCTCAGGGTAGTTTTTCGCATAAGAATCACACCATACACAAAGCTACGAGTTAGCCTTCTGTCAGCAGCTATTAACAACGCCCTTCCTGTGTGGAAATTGAGCCTCACTGAACTGATTCCACACTAGAACGGAAATCCACCGTTTCGTTTTATTAAGATTAAGATTTTAAGGTTCAGCAGAGCGATGAACAGCCATCTCTTCAAGGATAATGCCCGCGAAGAAAGAGTGTACAAACTATCCACTTATTATTTATTTGCCATTCTAAATTAACCGACGGTTGTTGCCTTTCTTGAATAAACGTGTAATCTCCGGTTTAAGCAAGAGTTTAAGGATGATCCATTTGCAAGCTAAACCAACAATTCCCTACCTATTTCTGGGTCTTTCATTCCTTGTCACTGGTGTATCTTGAAGCTTGTTAGTAGAAAATCATGTTGCTCATATTTTCAAATAAAAGCAGAAGTCCTAACTAAAATTATTAAATCACAGTGTACGTCACACAAGGCAAGTGGATGTAAACGATGTACAAACTCACCGCAGGGGCAGGTGACGTAAATGCTCCCGCAACCTACTAGTGTCAACGCCAATGTGATTAAAATAATTATGTGAAGTAGACAGAGGAAAGGGTAGGCGATTCTGTGGTGGCAGCCCATCTTCAAGTTGCTGTGCAGTTTGGCCCTGCGACTCACTGAATACACATCTGACGAGATATGAGGCATATAATCAAGGACGATGCCGCACTTACACTAATTGGCTGAAAGGTTTTCCTGATAGAATTCTTTTCATTCCACCCTTCGAAACGAGAACTGCCAATCAGGTAGTGCGTAGGGGCAAGGAGGAAGAGTAATGTTTTTAGCACTCACGTGAGGTGTGTCGCAATTCAAAGGGTTCTCAGTAGGCTTTAAGCGACGCCTGTTTGTTAAGCTTTATCAGTTCTCTACAGTAATTGGAACAACCGCTGCTTCGTCCGAGAATGGCAAACATACCAAATCCTCACGCTTTTGGCAGTCACAGCCATACGCTATCATGATCGCAAAAACACAGAACTGACTGAATTTACAGTTCCGAGTGTTCTTTTCGTCGGTAATTTGCTACCGTGGAGCAACCTTAAAATTTGACACCCTTCTTTTTTGTCTAGGAGCAAAGGGACTGCTTACTAAACTGTTAGGCCACATAACGGCATAAGGACTCAAGTTATGGTATGACCGATTGGGTGAGTGGGTGAATGAACAACTTTGGTTGCTGCAAATTCGCCCTCGCCTGTTTCCCATTATTAAGGATTCTTCGGTCTGATCAAAGATCCTACCCCATAAACATTTTCAACCGGGGATATCTCAGATGAAGAGTTCTAGATTTAGGCCGAAGAAAATCTGATCAGCTGGGCTAGTAAACTATTTGATACCTGGCGCTTTAACAAATCCGTCAAACTGGCCAAGACTTTCCAAATTATTCCCACTCTCATCCCGGATTTTCATAATCCATAAAGTCGCTCTTGATAACGTGCTAACCGGACATTGCGCAGCTTGTGACTCCCGATAAATAGACAAACATTTTTAAGTAGTTCAGTATCATCACAATGAGTTACCTTTTGAATTTTACGACTTGCCATATATTTTTGAATAAGGTAAGACGCCTTTTAAATTGGTTCACTAAAACAGAACTTGGAGCAAAGGGGATCTAAAAAGCCAACAACACCAGGTTATAAACTTATAAAAACGCTTGAGCAAAAATAAAAAAATTTTTGCATAAAAAACACAATAACACGTAATCCACCTCTCCTCTTTTTTTGGTTTCTGACAAAACTTTTAGAAGAAAATACCAACAAAGCGACAACTTACCCGCACAGAATCTGCGCACGTTAGACTAGATAGGGCATTTTTCAGCATTTTATAAAATTTATATAATGTCAAGAGATAATACGAAGGCTGTCATAAGGAGATTTCGGATAACATTCAACGATACTGACCTCCGTACATTTCCTACTTCTAGTCCGTATTGCTTTTCCAGTAAACAGTACTGACAACTGTACTAATCGGTCGTGTCGTATAAATTAATCGACGCCGTTCAATTTAGGTCGTAGTGACTGACGACGTTGAAGTTGGCACATACGGACGAGGAAGCGTCTGCAGTTATTGTTAATTTGCAGGAATACTGAATACAGTTACTAAGCGACAGTTCGATCGTCAATTTCGACTATGTCTACCCTGTGCTTCATAGCAAGGTGAGAGCAGGGACAGTGACTTGCGCGTTAGTTAGCTTGCAATGATACCAGACTTCCGTTTCATCTACCTGCGTCTGGCGTCGTACCAAGTCAAAAGACCGGAAGCGGAAGAGGCCGCGGGTAGCTAGTACGGCCATGCCGGCGGCGTGATACACGCGGGAAGATAGCCAACCGGCGTGTACTGTAGTGCCGAGCACGTGTGGTGGCTTTGCCTGAGCGTGCGGTCCAATCAATGGCTGTTCGAATATTCGAGACTGTTCCGCGCGGAGATTCTCGCGCACGCAATGGCCAACCCGCGACCGGCACGCCACGAGCAGGAATGTTCTGGAACGTTCTTAACGGCTTACACACCATTGGTCGGAATGCTCCAGAACGCACAGGGGCCAACATAAATAAGGCGTCTACCTGACCCGTGGTCACATGCTGATAATAAAGTGGTTGTTTTCCCAGAACAGGCTTTCTTCTCTTCTTTCTACCCGTTGGGCTATAACGGCAAAACACGCCTGAACGGGACTTTCGAAAAAAATACAGAAAATGCCCGGCGGCAGGAAGTTCACTGGGCGCGGTGAGAGCCTGCAAATGGGCCTGCCTCCACATTCTCAGGCTTCCACAGAAATAGGAAAATCGTGGTTCTATGTATTCGTCAGTCAAAATTAGAAGTCATCATCTAACTTCACTTAAATAAAGAGGAATGATTTGAGGGTTAAAAATAAAAATTAAAAGAGCGCAAATCTGTCAATTCTAGAAAGCATGGTCAAGGTAGTTTAACTTTTGCTCCCATCGATAGAAGACTGCTCAAAGATGAAATCTTGCCATTTTGAAGCTTAACGATGTGTAAATGACAACGCCTATGAAAGGAATAACTTGTATGTTGCATTACTGAAAGCATCATGACGAAAAAATTACTGCCCGGGCAAGTCGAATTCTAAGTTAAGAATATCAAGAATCCGCAAAGAAAATGTCAATGTGCAACACGTATAAATGACAAACTAGAGAGATTATTTCTGGTTTGCATATTGTCAGTAAATCCAACCGCATAAACTAAGTTCCCACTGCCTGTTTAAAGGAAAAGCAAATTAAAACGCCTGACTAACACAACAATGGCCTTATTGTCTGACAACTGTGAGAGACAATATAAGCCATAAATAACTATTCTAGTCTTTGCTTTTCGCGACATCATTTTTGATCGTGGATTTTCGTCGAAATCCAACCACCTGCGAGGACTTTAATGTAGAGCACCACGGCTAAGATAAATCTTCCATTTTTCGTTCATATCTGAGTAGGTTATTGAACGTGGCTTCCATTTTCCCCAACACTTTCCATAACAGCCCACACAACGGCCGACACATGAATGTAAATCCGCCCGATTTAAACTGCCAATGATCATAGGGCTAGGGCCCAAACCCTGTGTCCTTCAGGTCTGACGTTAGGCGGAATTAGCTGAATAGGACGAATAAATCTTTTACGACCGTCCGATGTTTTAATCACAAAATGCACTATAGAATCTCCTTATTTCGTGACAGAAACCCAGAAAAATATCCATTAAACCTCGGATAGAGTTAGAACACATTATTTGTCCCGAAGGTGGTTTGATTTTCTTGAGCACTTTGAAAGAGCTGCCTTAAAAAAGTTGGAAGCCCTCATAACAGAAGTTTTGCTCCGCTTGTATGCCAAGACTCGTTACAGCACGTTTGTGTGTGACATTATGAACATCTTTCATGTAGAATAGGCGTTCGTATTTCCCCCAAGATATCTGGCTATCTTCACGGACCAAAGCCGCTTAAACCTCATCCATATGGTGCTAATCCGACGTTTAAATTTCGTTCAGTCTGAAGTTATCTAGTAAATTCTCAGTTCATTTCAGACGTCAACCACATAGAGGAACAAATAGAACGGCTAGCACTCCATCAAATCCCGCGGACTCGTTCCTTTATGCAAGACTGGAAACACTCTCCCTGATCTGATGACCGAATATCGTCAGATCAGCTGTTTCAGTAGACACCAGAGTGGTGACCTCCAGTGTAGTGACATGTTGGTCATCACGGACAATAACAACTTCCCCTCAATTTCGTCACTGTTTCCGTGCGTCTATCTGCTCCTCTTTTAATAAACCACGGTAGGTCTCTTAGCGAAATATACCAATCAAGGACAGGATCAAAGTGCAGGCTCGGTACTTAGGGTGTCGCTTAATCATCCATTTGCAGGACTGTCAATGCTTGGACATGGATGCATCTAACCCGTTAACAAGACACGAACCAATCCTCCATTTAATTTTCATCCCGAACACTCTTATGTGTCAACCCTCGATGTAGAAGGATTTACTTGAAGCGGCAACTATACGCGTGCTCCGTTGTTCACGTCATTGTCAATGGTAACTTGAAGCATACACTTCTCTGTGTCCTTCACTGACTGTTCAATCAGTAGCATGGTACTGATGCGAATCTAGTAAATGTCAGTCGTCTACTCCTTTCTGAGCTCTTTACCAGCTTCATCCATCTTTGGTTGGATAGGAGCCCTCCCGTCAACGTTGTCTCTCCGACTTCTTGTTCGGAAACGCACTGTTGTCGACATTAATCCATACAGATTCACTGGCAAGTTGCATCTCTTTCAGTAGCATTCATACCGCTGTCATAGTGCCTGGGCTAAGTGTGCTGTTAGAAACAATTCTAGTGGGTATAGAATTACGTTTGGGGTTTTGGTAAAATTGGCAGTTTGATATATCTGATCCAAGGATAATTACTTAGTTTGACAATAACAAAGTTTTGGTGTGCATGGGTGAGGAACATTTTGCCGAATTCGCTTTAACAATGAGTGAATAATCATAAGCCAGTCGTCAAAAGTTGTGTTACTTCTTACAAGATAGGGCAGTGAAAACCAAATATCAAAACAATGTTTCAGGAAAACAGCAATGACGATTAAACAAATTAACTGACCTACATGGTTTATTCAGCGAAGCCTATCAAAAGGGCACTCGTAGTCCAGACAAAAATGTAAGCCAAATTTGTGGAGTAAATTGGTTCTTCACAAAACCACGGCAAAATTATCCTAAACAAAATTGTTTCGTTAAAATTGAGAGAAGGATGGCCTAGTGTAGTAGTGGCTAACAAAAGCAAGTCTTAATGATAAAGAGTTCTGTCTAAATGAGATTCCACAAATCAAGACAAAAATAGAGGAGTGCATTTAAATTTTCCTAGGGCAGAGAGCAAAGTAAACTGCATGGGGTACTTACAGAGCTATATACACTGACGCAATAAAAATCCGGCAGGTGAAACCCCAGTCGGTTATTCCAGTATAACCCATCCAGCGAGAGACAATGCAGAGTAGAAGACCTTGAGCAGCCAGAAATGTATGTCTCTAACTTCCTATTTTCGCTCAAATTCAGAGCTTCGGACCAGGCCTGCGAATAATCGATACTGTCTTATTGCAGACACG